ACAATGAAGTTTGAATGATTTGAATGTTTTAAAGTTTGTTGAAAAGCTGATGCCACACTGAATAGCTGCCTTTAATAAAATAAAGTTTGAATGATTTGAATATTTGAATGTTTTACTGAGATTTATGAAATCCAATATGGCTGCCGCCTAGTGACGCCACAATATGCAAATTAGATGAGTTAATTTACTCCCATCAGATTCCTCTTCCTTTATTTTGAGGACGAGATGACAAAAACAGCACAAAACAAAAGAAATCTGCTGTGCAAATAAAATGCTGTTTTACAGAGATTTATGAAATCCAATATGGCCGCCGCCTAGTGACGCCACAATATGCAAATTAGATGAGTTAATTTACTCCCATCACAAACTTTGGGTCATGATGAATAGTTTTCTCATTTACAGTATGCCTTTATCTCTCACCACTTTCAAGCGAAAGCCTTTTGAAATGTTGAAATGAATATTTTCCTCAAATAACTCTGGCAACTAAAGGGTTAAAATACCCATACCCAAACCGTTGGTCCAATAATGAAAATAAAGTGATGGTGAGAGAGAGCCACTTCTTGTGAACGCACGTGTCATGTTTTATATTTCTACAGTCAAAAATGGGGTCACCAGAGCGAATTACAAATGTGTTGCACCTCAGCTGTTTCCAGAAATTTGTCCTCTCAGTTTACATGGGAGTGAATGAGAAAAAAATTGGCGCTCCCTTCGCTTTGGAGCCGCTCAGCAAAAATGTGTACGTGTGACAGATTCCATGTCAACATTTCTGTGACCAGGACAAATTTTCCTACGTTTTGTGGTATAAATTGTGTATGTACAGTGAAAATTGTGGCCGTATGAGCGAGTTGAAGAGAAAATTCAAGTATGAGTAGAGGGCTGTGTGTGCGTGTCTGTGTGTGCAGCCGTTGTCATGGTGATTCCTGACTTGCCTGCACTTGAGGGGCACACACACAGCGCATGAGAGAGCAGATCAGCAAAGGCTGTTTTTAATGGGTTTGAACTCCTCGAACAAATTCTTCCCATACCCAAACCGTTGGTCCCATCATGAAAATAAAGTGATGGTGAGACAGAGCCACTTCTCGTGAATGCACGTGTCATGTTTTATATTTCTGCAGTCAAAAATGGGGTCACCAGAGCGAGTTACAAATGTGTTGCACCTCAGCTGTTTCCAGAAATTTCTCCTCTCAGATTACATGGGAGTGAATGAGAAAAAAATCAGCGCTCCCTTCACTTTGGAGCCGCTCAGCAAAAATGTGTACATGTCACAGATTCCATGTCAACATTTCTGTGACCAGGACAAATTTTCCTACGTTTTGTGGTATAAATTGTGTATGTACAGTGAAAATTGTGGCCGTATGAGCGAGTTGAAGAGAAAATTTCTTGATGAGTTTACAGCTCCTCTCCACTCTAGTGATGACATCACCCACTCTAGCTCACGCAATACACACCCATTATAAAGTCTGAGAAGGGTTGAAAACTTCATGTATTTTAAACTGACTTTGTAGAAAAACTAAAAGAGATATTGAAAATTTGAATTAGTTCCTGAAAGTCGACAACAGCGTCAACGTTTGAGAGTTGGAATGGAGTTTCTACGTCAATGTATGAATTCGTGATGTGTGGGTGAAGATGAGTGAGTTTGAAGGATTTTCTCATTGACTTCCATTATAACAAAGTTTCAGAAAACGCTGAATATTTTTGAAAGTTTGAATGGGATTGAAAAGTTGAATCATATGTAAAATGTCAGCAAAATGATGAATATTTTCCATTTTGAATGGAGTTTCTAGCTGAAAGTATGAATGGGTAGTCACAGTTTGAAAAAAGGTGAAATTTTTAGATTTTTGAGGATTCCGTAATGCATTCCCAATGGGAAAAGGATTTGGGAAAAATCGGAAATATCTCGGAAAGTATGAATGTTAGGAAAAAAGTGAATACATCCGCGAATGTCCTAATTCTGCTGAACGTTTTCATGTTTGAATGGTTTGAATTGGTTGAAGTTTGTGGAACTAGTAGCGGTCCAACCGTTTTCGCTCCATCCGCTTTAATAGAAGTCAGAATTTTAACGTTGAATTCCCGGGAAAATATGAACGTTATGGAAAAATCTGAAAGTTTCCGATAATGTCCTAATGAAGCCGAATCAGAAGAAGTTTGAATGGTTTGAATCGGTTGAAGTATGTTGAAGATAATTGATGTTGAAAAACGCAGCGGAAGAATAATAATAAGAAAAATAAAGAATTTTGGTAGTAGAAGAACATAGGTTGTGAATGCTTGCAGCATTCACAACCAACAAGAAAAATGAAGAATTTTGGTAGTAGAAGAACATATAATAATATAATAAACAAATAATAAAATAAAATGATGGGAAAAGAAGTAGTAAAATGGGGGAAGAAAAAAAGAAACAAAAGGAAAGAAGGAAAAAAATAAGGGGGCGGGGCTGGGGGCGGGGCAAAGTGATTTGGAATGTCTAATGCCTTTATGACACTTCGTGTCTTTGACAGATAGTTTGCAAATACAGCCTGCCTTGTACTGTTGAGCTGTTGGACTGATGCGCCAGTCACCTAGAGGGGGTAACGATTAATTACCGTAATTACCGTAGAGAAAGACGTGACAAGAACACAAAAGTGGTTTTTAAAAATCACTTTTTATTACAAGCTGAATTTGTTAGTTAGCTAGTGTTAGCTTAACTTTAACTTTGATTTAACTTGTGTCCTTGCTCACAACGATGTCGGAGAAGCACACTGCCGACCTTCTGGAGTTGCTGAAATTAGCTTTCAGTTCACCTTCAGATTTTAACATTCTTGCGCTACATGACCTATTTCAGGCCATTATCGGCAAGTTAAATGGGCAGGAAATTAAGACACAGAAGGGTGCTCCCCCGAGCACACAGGATCAGGCTCAAGGGGGCAGCACCAAGCAGCAGCTAGCCCCCTCCCCACCGAAGAGCTGCCCCCCGCGCCCGGATGGCCTTAAGCAGGCACGGACCCGCATTCAGACCCCTGAGGATGGCATGTCAATGAAGGTGGTCGTTTCCGATGTAGAGAAGTCCAAACAACGTATGGACGCTCTGGAGAAAACCGTGAGAGACCTGAGTGATTTTGTTAGGGTGGAGATAAAGGCACTACGTGACCAGCAAAAGACAGCTCGGGCTGAGATGGCCTCCGATTTTGAGAAGTGCCACCATCGTATGGACGCCCTGGAGGAAACAGTGAGATCGGAAGTAGAAATTCTTAGGGCAGAATTGAAGGCCCTACACCACCAGCACACGACAGCCATCACAGAGATGGCCTCCAATGTGGACAAATGCCATCACCATTTGAACGGCCTTGAGGAAAGATCCCCGAAGGGGACAGCTCAGCTCCACCACCAAATGGAACATCTGAAGGCAGAAATGAAGGCCCTACACCACCAGCACACAACAGCTGTCACAGAGATGGCCTCCAATGTGGACAAATGGCATCACCATTTGAACGGCCTTGAGGAAAGATCCCTCAAGGAGACAGCTCAGCTCCACCACCAAATGGAACATCAGAAGGCAGAAATTAAGGCCCTACACCACCAGCACATGGCAGCTGTTACAGAGATGGCTGCTGATGTGGAGGAATGCCATCACCGTATGAACGGCCTTGAGGAAAGATCTCTGAAGGAGACAGCTCAGCTCCACTGCCAAATGGAACATCAGAAGGCAGAAATGAAGGCCCTACACCACCGACAGACGACAGCCTTCACAGAGATGGCCTCCGATGTGGAGGAATGCCATCAACATTTGAACAGCCTTGAAGAAATATCTCTCAAGGAGACAGCTCAGATCCACTGCCAAATGGAACATCTGAAGGCAGAAATGAAGGACCTACACCACCAGCACACGACAGCCTTCACAGAGATGGCCTCCAATGTGGAGAAATGCCATCACCATATGACCGGCCTTGAGGAAACAGTGAGATCCCTGAGGGAGAGACCTCCAGTGCCACACTACCAGCAGAAGACCGATGGTGCACATTTCTCCCTTGTGGAGAAGAAATTAAGGGAGTGTGGTAAGCTGGAAACACGTGTTACAGCACTGGAGGATGGAAAGGTGGAGCTTCAGGCCCAGACTGAAAAGCTGCATGATACCACCAGACAACTTCAAGATGACAACAGAAAGAAACAGAGCCAGATAGAGGACCTGAACGAGACAAAGGCCGACAAAAAGACAGTTGAACTGGAAATCAAAGCAGGGAAATGTGCTTTGGACTACAAAGTGAGTCGTCTGCAGCTTGACTCTGAGCAACTCCATTCCAAGTATTATGAACTCCTGAACAAAGTGACCAGCCAGGAGCAGGACTGGCACAAAATCACAAACAAACTCTCCACTGAGATGGAGAGCAAGTTGAACAGAGGTGAGTTAGACTCTGTTAAGAAGCAGCTGGATAGTCGCTGGAAGACCATTCTGGAGAAGCTGCAAGCTCAGGAAGCTCCACAGGGTGACATTGCTGCTGGCACAAAACAGCAGCTTGTAAACAGATCTCACTGCCTCTCATGTGACAGACCTGTTGTCCTGAAAAGCAAAGAGGAAAAAGTGCTGCCATACCTACCAAGGTTCCCCGCACCCAAGTCCACCAGGCTTCAGAAGCACAATGCTGTGATGGGCAGGCAGGTGCAGAGCGTGCAGAGGCGAGTGAATCAGTCTGACAGCAGCTCTACACCTCTGCCACCTCTTGCAATGACAAATTCCAACAAAGGTCCTGTAGTGAAAGAGGCCTGGCGGCACAGAGGGGTCAGCAATGAGTGAATCATTGTTGAAGCAGGGCAGTGGTCAAGCCCAGTCCACAAAATCGTACCGCCATTTGTAGTTAGCAGTGACACCTCACAGTCAGGTTTTGTTCAATCCAAAACCTGACTGTGAGGAGTTCATATTCTCCCCATGTGAGGGTTTACTCCGGGTGCTCCGGTTTTCCCGCACAATCTGAAAGTATTTGATTAATTGGCAAGAATAAATTAATAAATAAAATATAAAAAATAGTCAATTCAAGTATTCATGTGTTTATTTATGTCTTCCACCTTTAAACAACTCCCCATATATACACACACTACAACCATACATGCAAAAACTTAGATATTGGGGCCCTGCATATTTGGCCCCTGAGGGCCATGGCAGCCATTTTTTTTAAATGGCCACAAAATCAGCGCTAAATATGCCTGAATGTTGTAGAAAACTGATTTCATGACTCTTAATGATTGCCAAAGTGTGTTAAAGTTGATTAGATCACATGACCAGTGTTTTTCCCCCTTTATTTTCAGAATGCTTTTTAATAAGCTTCTAATCTGAACAAATAATAAAAATAAACTACAAAAAATTATCATTCTGAAGCATGTTGGTAAACATTAGCTTTGATTTAGGTTACTTTGCACAATGATGTTTCAAGATTCATGTAATGTGATCAATGAGAATCTTAGGATGTGGCTAGCTAGCTATAGGTAACACCAAATGGTGCCATGACCGTAAAACTTTGCACCTGTTATGTCTCATCATATTTTAAAGGGAGTGAGAAAGGCCACTGATTTAAATTGCAGGCAAGGAAAGACAATACTGTTTTATATCAATAGGCTGCAGTCTTTTTGTTTTATTTAACCCCTTATTCCTGTCACTGTCTCATAGCAACATTATTCTCATGACTAGTCCTGCTCTCTTCTGTCTCTGTTTATTATGAGACCCCAGTGGTTCCGGGAGTTTAGGCTTTGCACGTGGGACAGTTGGTGAGAGTCGGCTCCCACCCACGCACACCCAAAAACAGGGCTAATTGAAGCATTGCACAGCTATGCCATACTGGCTTGAACCCCAGAATTGCCACGTACGATATATTTATTTTTGAGCATGCATTCAAATGTGGAGGCAGCACTGGTTTGAGCCACATGTTTTCAGACAACAACTTTAACAGTGTAGTTAACGATGACCTGAGTCCATAAAGTAGTCAGTTTAACAGGTTTAGGACCTGTGCTGCTGTGGCCCAGGACTATTAGGATACACTAGAAGACTTTGGAAATGCCTCTAAAAGACTGAAGTCTGACACCCTGTTACATCTAAAAACAATGCAAGTTTTTGGTCACACACTTAAAGATTGTGCAAAGACTCAGGAACCTGCAGGGTCAATATATTTGCAACACTACAACTAGATTTAATTTGAGATTATTTGCCATCTTGTCCCTGGTGGAAAACAATATGCCAAACTCCCTTGAAGAAATATGACATATTAACAATTCCTTACATGCTCGCAAAAACACAACTCTAAAAACACAGAATGAAGGGCATCATATGTCGAAAGTGTACTTGTCGATTTTGCATCAATCCATAAACCGTATTTGTGTAGAAACTTTACATTTTGGATTTTTGCTACCAGTTTGTTAGAGCCACTATTTCAGTAGGAGGAGACCATGCTTGCTGCTTCCTGTTTGGTGCTGGAGAGAGAGCAGCTATTGGTTGACAACATTGACCTCCTTGAATTTCAGTATTTCAATAAGACAAGAATAAAAACTTAGAATAATATTAAACATGTTTGATTTTGTTGGGGCGTAAAGATGAGAAAAAGACTTGTAACAGGTGACAATTGGTCTGTGACTATGGATTTGCTTGAAAGGTTGTTTGCTATAGATCAGCTTTAGTAAGTCGCTGTGATCATGTATTGCTCTATGCATGAGTAAGAATCCAGAGAAAAACATTTAATACCACAAGACTACACTACCAAGTTCTGGACAAGAAATCTTTTCGTTATCATCACTGCAGTATCCTGGACAATAATGTCCTTTTAAGCTGGGATAACACTGTAAAATTTCACAACGTAAATCTAGTTTTCAAAATTCTCCATGGTTTGGCTCCACCACCACCGCTGACTTTTTTTACATTGAGCAGCAGACTGACCAGATTGGCCTCAACAACTACCCTCATCGTACCACTGAGAAAAAGTTCCTTCAGCCAGTCAGCCTTCTCAGTGCCAGCTGCCCAGTTCTGGAAGTCATTACCACCACACATTCGCAATATTGAAACACACAAAGCTTTCAAACACACTCTAAATATATGGTTAAAAGATAATCAGGCCTGCGATAACAATCAGTAGTCCACATTAATCCTATAACTCTGTCTATTTGCTTGCGTGCCTCTCTGCCTCCATGTTGCCTGCTTGACTGCCTATCTGCTTGTCTGTTTCGCTTGCTTACATGTTGCTTAAATGTGCATTGCATTTTGTTTTGTATTGTTCTGTATTGCTTTGTTCCTGGTGTCCTGCCAATATGTTGCATGGCTACTATGTTTGTCTGTTTGCCTGATGTAGCCTACCTGCTGGCTGAAGCTTATTTTCCTGTCTTTTAATGTGCTTGATGTGCTTTCCATTGTGATTTATGTGCCACTTCTTGTCTTTTACTGTGTGTTATGCCTTCTCTTCTGATCCATGTGCTTTTATATGTGCTGTATATTTTACTGTTATTACGAAATGTCTATTGTAATGTTTTTTTTTCCATTTAGCTGGCATGTAACACTTTGCCTGGGGACTGCAGTTGGAAACTAGCCACTCAGCTGAAACTGGCACATTTACAGAAATGTTCATTAATGTGCACTGTCTCTGTACAAATAAACAAATAAATGAAATGAAAATGACTGAAGGTTTAATATTATTGGTACACAACATGTCGAAGGTAACAGCAGCCATTTTCACACACTCAAGAGGTCTAAGTTTTGTCCTACACCAACTCTGAATTGTAGCAGTGCTTTATGTAACAGTAGGAAATTTTAAAGTGTCTCTTGTCGCTCTGTGCCACGACTTCAATCCCAACAACATTCCTGTTTGATATTCCATTAAACTGTGGAAAATCAGTTCTTCACTCAGTTCTTTCAGGCTGTCAAAGAGTTAGTGGTACATTGTTTCACTTAAGTAAAAATCCCAATCTGTAGCAAACATCACAGCTGGATGTACTTCCAACACAGTACACAATGTGTTCAGACACATTTTATAAACTCTCAGGCCAAAATCACTCACGTCAATCATCACAAGCACTACATGTCTCAGGATTATTCACTGTAGTTCAGCCTTTGGACTAAGGTGGCCCATTTAAAATAAGATTTCTTATTTGGATACGTCCACCATTACAAAAAATCATTAAAATTCCAACAGAACCATTTCAACAAAGACTGCAACTTCTTACAAAGAAAAAAACAAAATTTAGGTTGTTAAATACAAATATTATTTTTCTTTATATTGTAAATGTGCCTGCTGTCCCTATTTTATTAATTACAGAAACAATGCATTGGCAGACACTAATATTATTTTGACTATATTTACAAGGAATCACAAGCAATCCTTGTTTATAGCAGTTAAACTAATGTTCGTGTCAATTTTTGTATTTGTGCAGTCAAACACAACAACTTCTGTATCAAGTGACCATTGATCTCTTTTCAGGTTGAATCAGTCACTTGTATTTGGCTCAAAGTCTGAGATATGTAGTTAAGTACACTACTGGGAAACTATACCACTGTACTGCAACGGAAACAGTTTTCCTGAGCAAGTAGGACATTCATCCTCCTTCCTCCTCTTAAAGAAACTATGTGCCCTTGTGGAGAACTGTGGCAGCTCGTGGTTCAGTTAGCAGCATCTGGAGGTCCCTCTGGGATCAGTGACATGAAGAAGGTTATGATGAACGACCACGTGGAGGACAGAAAGCCTGTGTTTGGGGCGCTGTTTGGATCTTCTGCTCCTTCCTCCCCACTTTCCCCATCATCGTCCGAGCCATCATCCATCGCTCCCTCCTATAAAGGAAAGAGAAAAACTATAAGAGGACAATCAGGTGCGATACTGTTTGCTTCACACCGACATGCAGTGCACAAGGTTGGACATATTTGACTGTGGAACGTGATACGCGCTATGTAAACTTGAGCAACAGCTCCTAAATGCAAATGTCTGACCAAGTCCGACTTATTATATGCAGATTAAGTATTTCAAAGGTGTCAGTGTCCATTTTGTTCCCTCATGAGTAGGGTTGGGACTCGTTAGGATTTTAACGATTCTGATTCCTTACCGATTCCTACATTATATTCATTATACTTGTTATACTTAAACAAGTATTTAATAAACACAAATGCAATCATACAAACACAAAAACTTTATTCTAACTGTTGCACAGTACAATTAGATGAAAATACACATTTGTGTGTGGTGTGTATTTCAGATTTAGAGCTTGTATCATCTCCCTGAGAATATATAACAACAAAAAGTGATTCTCTGATTTCTACAGTAACACTATTACCTCAAATTAACCACAGCAATGTAATAAAAAATACTTACATGCATTCATGCTTGGGCACTGTTATTTACGTGACAACACCTGAACAGAACACACACACACACACACATTGGCTGTTTCGGACCTCCCGCCTCCGCCTTGATTAAACGCTGAAAATAAAATAAAAGAGGGAGACAAGTTTTCCTATTTTATCTTATTTTGTCATATTTCTCCCTCTCCCCTCGCTGGCAGCCTCGGGCCTACCGCCGCCCACTCCCGTCTCAAACACGGAGGTCTCCCTCTCTGCTGAGCACCCGCGGCGCACGCCCGGCCTGTTAAATAGCCTGTAACCATAACAACTGTGTGACACAAACTCAGTGCTTTAGTAATTTAATAATGACGGGCTCGGTCGGGTTCGGACAGAAATATGTGGCCCATTTTAATAATCTAGGAACCGTTTGCAGGAACCATTACTCCAAATGTGATGGAACCGGTTCCGGAACCGGAACTTTGGACCCGGTTCCAAAAAAGAACCTGATCCGTAACCCAACCCTACTCATGAGGTCATCATGTAAACTAAATCAGGGGTGAAACAAATAGGCCTTTTTCACAGCAGACATCTTGTCATCATAGGAAAAGCGCAGGTGCTACTAATAACACTACTGATGGCTCTGTTCTATTGAAGTGCTGCAGTCAGTGACAATAAGCTATCATGAAGGATACAAGGATCCTGAAGTCTAAGCAGCTAAATGGGATTCACTGGGACAGAGAGACTGGGTGGATCGTGCATATGGTATAACATGGTGATGTTTCCTTAGAGTACATTTAGTATTTTTTCGCTTTGCTTACATTCTTTTGTGGATATGCTTGTTTTTTCCTGCTAAAAGCTACAGAAAGTAGATCCTGGATACTTATAAAGCATTGGGACCTTAATTTGTGAGAGATACAGAGGACTACTGCCATATTTTCACCACTTTTTCACAACTTTTGTACTGTGTGAGCAGGGCTGAGGCACAGTGCAAGCCTGAGTGGAGCTGACTTGTGAAGCAACCTGTAGCAACTTAGCTTGGTTTGCTAAGCTAATGGCTACATCCAGCCCTCCCGATGAAAACCAGCAACTTGTTAAGAAAGACAGGATCATTGCCAACCTCAAGGAAGACATCCGAAGGCTGTCAGCGGAACTCAAGTCCCAATCTGAGCTGCTGACAAACACCCTGGACGTGGCTCACGAGCAGTCTCTACAGATCGCCTCGTTAAAAGCTGCTCTTCAGGACACAGTAGCCTGGGATCCTACCTCCTCTCCTCCGCAGCCCAGCAGTTCAACGCCCCGTCGTAAGCCGCAATGGTCGGAGGTGGTGTTACGGAGCAAAAAAAGGACCTCGCTCGGCGTCGGTCTCTCATCCCACCTCAGCCTTTCCAACAGATTTGAGCCTCTGTCATCGCGGGTCGAAGCACCGGACTCCGACGAGCTCAAGGATGATGCAGCCCGTCCCACGTCTTCCCAGTCCGGGAGTCATCCTCTGCCGGCAGCTCCCATCTCGGCAGCTCCCCTCCCGGCTAACAGCTGGCAGCCTCCCAGCGCGGACAGCTCTGTGTCCCCCCTCGCACACACCACGGAAACAGAGCGGCAACAGAGGAAACAGAGTCGTTTAACTCATAAAGGTGAGACTATGAAACTGAGCAATAACAAAGTTAACGGGTCACAAGCCAGTGCCAGGCCAAGAGCCAGAGAGCATTCTGCCAAAAACAAAGCTAAGAGGATAGACACTATTCTGATTGGGGATTTTATAACGAGGCAGGTGGAAATGGCCAGGACTGAAAATCTAACTGTGAATAACACATCAGTCAGAGAGGCGGCAGCTATGCTACCAGACATTATGTCTACACGGCCACATATTAAGAAGATTGTTATTCATACTGGCTCATTTGACATCCTCAAGAATAAATCTGGGTCTGATACCCTAAAGAAAGACTTTTTGTTTTTATTGGAAACACTTAAAAAACTTCACTCAGGAGTGTCTTTCATCTCTGGAACTATCCCAACACTCAGCAGAGGTTGCGAGTCCTTCAGCAGACTCCTTGGCTTAAGCACATGGCTGTCATCAGCCTGCCTTGAGCAACAGGTTGGATTTATTGACAATTTTAATATTTTTTGGAACATAAAAAGCCGCTTCATGTCAGACGGGATTCACCCAAACAACCTTGGCTCCACATATCTTGGCTGCAACATATGTCACACCATCGAGTCATCTTATCAGAACATATATGCACTGATAAGCAGGAAGGTCAGCACACAGGGAGCAGACAGACAGTTACTGCTCCAAAAACAACAACCGCCTCCCATGATGATGACGTCACGGTCTGTGGCTCTGTCCTCCACATTACAAGAAACCTGCAGAGATTGTCTCTGTCCCAGAAAAAATGTCGAGAAAAGAAGAGATAGGACAGTCACCATGTCGCTTTCCCCCTTATGCCGGCAATGTAACTCAGCCGGCGGCATGGCGAAAATAAAAACAACTGCAGAAAATCAAGGACAGTCAACCCATCAAATCTGATATGTATCTCATGTCAAACACAGTCTGTCTCTAAACTTATGCCAGATAACGTTTCACAACTAGCACTTCTAAATATCAGGTCTCTGGCTGGCAAATCCTTCTTAATCAATGATTTTATTAACAAGCACAAACTTGATTTTATGTTTTAAACTGAAACTTGGCTAGGTCAGGAAAATAGTGCCGCAGTTTTAATTGAGACAGCCCCTCCAAATTTTAGTTTCTTTAGTGAAGCAAGAATACATAAGAGAGGAGGCGGAGTTGCCACTCTGTTCAAGGACAGCTTCCAGTGTAAGCAAATGTTTTATGGTCAATTTGACTCCTTTGAATATGTTGCCACTCAGTTAAAATCCCCCTGTCGAGCAATTTTAGTGACCATCTACAGACCCCCCAAATATGATGCAAGGTTTTTTGATGAGTTTGCCAAATTGCTGTCTATTGTGTGCATGGATTTTGACTGTGTTGTTTTAGTGGGAGATTTTAACATTCATGTTGATAATCTTACAGATGGGTGTGCTAAGGAACTGTTAAATATTCTGGATAACTTTGGGCTTTCTCAGCATGTCACAGAACCAACACATAACAGAGGACACATATTAGATCTAATTATTTCCAAAGGTCTTAATATCTCTGAGGTTGTGGTGAACGATGTCGCTTTATCTGACCATTACTGTGTTTCATTCAAAATGACCACCCTTGCTAATCCTATGAAAAGTGAAGCAGAGGTGATCAGAAAGCGTTATATAAATGATAACACCTGTGCATTATTCACCCTGGGTTTTACACCATCACAAACCCTGCCCTCAGCTCTAGTTGATGACCTTGTAAGCAGTTTTAGTTCCAATGTTATGACTGTTATTGATTCTATCGCCCCAATTAAGACCAAAGTTATGTCAGGCAGGAAAAAGGCACCCTGGAGAAACGCCACACTGGTTAAAGAATACAAAAGAGTATGTAGACAAGCTGAACGCAGGTGGCGAAAAAACAAACTCCAGGTATATTACGACATTTATAAAGAGAGTCTTCACAACTATAACCAGGAACTGAAGAATGCAAGGCAATCATATTTTTCAGAGATTATCAATAGAAACAGTAATAATGCCCGCACACTTTTTTCTGTAGTGGACAGACTGACCAACCCCACAGCATCACTCCCTCCTGAACTACTGTCTAACAAGTCATGTAATGACTTTGCAGCCTTCTTCACAAACAAAATATTACAGATAAGACAGGCAGTGTGCAGCTCCAGCTCAGGAATGATAACACTTGTGCCTTCCTGTCCTCCGGTTAATCTAGGACATTTTAGCCTCCTAGATTACACAACTCTAACAGAAACGGTTTCAAAATTAAAGCCCACAACATGCTGCCTTGATATTCTGCCTTCAAACTTTTTTAAAACCATTTTTAACTGCATAGCTCCAGATGTACTGCAGATAATAAATACTTCTCTTAAAGCAGGCCAGTTTCCCCAGGCCTTGAAAACTGCAGTAATAAAACCTCTCCTAAAAAAATCAAATCTGGACGCCACAACAATTAGTAACTATAGGCCAATATCAAATCTGCCATTTTTGGGGAAAATCATTGAAAGGGTTGTCTTTCAGCAAATCCATACTTTTATGATGCAAAACAATCTTTTTAACACATTTCAGTCTGGATTTCGGCCACATCACAGCACTGAGACTGTACTTATCAAAGTCTTAAATGATATTCATCAGAATAATGATGCATGCAAATCCTCTGTCCTGGTATTACTAGATCTCAGTGCTGCATTTGATACAGTTGATCATAATATACTACTTAGCAGATTGGAAAAGTGGGTGGGACTCACCGGCACTGTGCTACAATGGTTCAAATCTTACTTACAAGATAGGGACTTTTTTGTGTCAATTGGTAACCATGAATCTGAGCGAACTACGATCACATGTGGGGTTCCTCAAGGGTCCATTCTCGGACCACTTCTATTCAACATCTATATGCTACCCCTAGCCCAGATTATGGAACATCACAACATCTCCTATCATACGTATGCCGACGACACACAACTCTATATCTCAGTGTCATCACACGACTACAGTCCCTTACTCTCATTGAGTAACTGTATTCATCAAATCAATGACTGGATGTGCCAGAATTTTCTCCAGCTAAATCCAGAAAAGACAGAGGTATTAATTTTTGGCCCTAGAAATGAAAGGGCAAAGATCAGCGCCCACCTTGGCTCTATGTCATTGACAGCTACAAATCAAGCCAGAAATCTTGGTGTTATTATTGACTCAGACCTGAACTTCAACAGCCATTTAAAGTTTATTACTAAATCTGCCTATTACCACCTGAAAAATATAGCTAGAATTAAGGGGTTTCTGTCTAAACAAGACATGGAAAAACTTATTCATGCATTCATTTTTAGTAGGTTGGATTATTGCAATGGCTTATTTACAGGCCTTAACAAAAAATCAATCAGACAGCTGCAGCTGATTCAGAACGCTGCCGCCAGAGTCCTTACAAACACCAGGAAACTGGACCATATTACACCGGTCATTAAATCGCTACACTGGCTTCCTGTGAGTCAAAGAATAGATTTTAAAATCTTACTGCTGGTCTACAAAGCCCTAAATGGTCTCGGACCAAAATACATGCTTGATCTACTGGTTCCCTACGAAGCATCCAGACCCCTTAGGTCATCTGGAACAGGTTTGTTGTGTGTTCCAAGAACAAGAACCAAGCAAGGTGAGGCAGCATTCAGTTATTATGCTCCTCACCTGTGGAACAAACTTCCTGTAGATCTGAGGTCTGCTCAAACTGTCAGCTCCTTTAAATCAGGGCTAAAAACACTATTGTTTACTGAAGCGTACTCTTAGATTAAATACTTACCTGCTGTATTCTACTGCCCGTACTTTTTAACTACACACTGCTGATTTATGCCTTTTATTATTCTACTTCTTTTCTTATCCTGACTGTTCAATGTATTGAGCCTGTTTTTATTTTATGTTACTGTATTTTATTATTATCACTATCATTCTCAATTTCTATTTCCCTTTTTAATCGACTGTTTTTATTGTTTTAAATTGTGTCTTGTTGCTTTTAATGTCTCTGTAAAGCACTTTGAATTACCTTGTGTTGAATTGTGCTATACAAATAAACTTGCCTTGCCTTGCCTTACATTTTCACTAACCTAATTTTTACTTTTATTCAAGTACATTTTCACACGGGGACTTTTACTCGAGTAAAGTTGTTTTAAAGTATCTACTTTTACTTAAAGGGATAGTTCAGTTTTTTAAGTTGGCTTGTATGGGGTATTTAGCCTATACATAGACAGTATGTCAAATACAGTAAGATGGCAGTCAGCATGCCCCCAGTTTGGAGAAACAGACTGGAGTCCAACAAGGAAGCTAAGCTATGTACTGCTGTGGAGGGGTTAGCAACAAAATGTATTTTAGCCACCTAAAAAAGTCCCACCTAAAAGCATCAACATTAGTTTAAGTGTATGCTATATCTTCAGTATTTTCACATCTTAATCTTAATATCAGACAGTGATTTATTCTTCACTTCAAAGCCAGACTATCAAGAAAAACAGTGATTAACATTACTGAACACAGGAGCTGCTGGTCTACTGCTGCCTCAATCAGTTATTTTGTTTGTGCTATTGTTACTTTGGTGTTTAAAAGCATAACTTCAGTTAGTGAACACAAGTCACACATTATACAAACTAACTAACTGATCAAAGCAGAGAAACCAGCAGCTCTCATGTTCAACAAGGTAAAATTACTTTTTTTCCCCAATGGAGTTTGGCAGCTCTGACGAGAACATAGATGGAGAACTAACTGAAGCTGTTAACAGCCTCCCCGTCAAAACAGGCTGTCTGATGGACAGGTAAAGCTGTAAAAAATACTCTCTATATAGAGTAAGTTTAAACTGATGTTGATTTTTTTTTAGGTGGTTAAAAAACATTTTGTTACTGAACCCCTCCACTGCAGTACATTGCTTGGCTTCTGTATCCACCATCCACTGTATGTAATATACTGTCTATGGATACGTACCCTGTACAACCCCACATCAAAAAACCTGAACTATCTTCTAACCACTTATCCTCTTGAGGGTCGCGGGGGGGCTGAAGCCTATCCCAGCTGATATTGGGTGAGAGGTCGGGTACATCCTGGACAGGTTGCCAGACTATCACAGGGCTGACATATAGAGACAGACAACCATTCACGCTCACATTCACACCTACGGACAATTTAGAGTTATCAATTAACCTAGTCCCCAATCTGCATGTGTTTGGACTGTGAGAGGAAGCCGGAGTGCCCGGAGAGAACCCACGCTGACACGGGGAGAACGTGCAAACTCTGCACAGGGGGGCTCCCACACCCGGGATCGAACCGGGAACCCTCTTGCTGTGAGGCAACAGTGCTAACCACCACACCACCGTGCTGCCCCACCTGAACTATCCCCTTAAGTATAATATTCTAGTACTCTTTTCATCCCTGCCATTTGGCGTGCTTTCATTTTTATCTTGCCTTGTCATTACATCTACAAATAGCGATGACTTTATTTATTGCATAAATAATCTGCCAGTTCTCTTTTCCTTTAACTGACCATTTAGGTTATAAAATGGCAGAAACTAGTGAAAGCCCATCACAGTTTACCATAGCCTGTTTTTCTGTTTTTTTTGTTTGTTTCTTTGTTCTGACAGACAATCTATAGCATAAAGATATAACTTTAAAATGATATGATCCTCACCTTAAGAAACTTGGACCACCAAATGTTTGGCCATTGTGCATAATAAATTGTTTAAATGATTAATCTATTATGAAAGTGTTGGGTGATAATTCAACCCTACTTTTAACTTTAACTCAGCTATTTACTGCATCTACACTGTAACTGTAACCAAACAGGGAGTGTGTTTCTAAGTATTTGTACCATTCTGCAAAAACCCTTTAAATATCTGGAACCTTGTACTTCGTCAATTAATGACTTGCACTGCAGATAGAATCTTGTGTTACAGATAAAAGTCCCATCAGCCGTGGCTAATGTTCTTGGCAAAGCCAAGATGGATGACAGGCAGCTACCGTTTCCTGTAAGTCATGGTTTTGTGGCTCTCCCTCCATATCGTCCTCATTGACTCTGTCTCCAGGAAGCTGGAGTTCGTTCTCCAGGTTGAAGGGAAACCAGCCAGCCTGATGCCTGCAGACACAAACAACCAACTGACGTCACAAACTTTGCACATCCTGCCAATAACAAATAATATCATTATCCATCATCAAAATAAAATATACTTATGAGTAATATGAGAATTGTTTAAGGCTCTATCTGCCAATGTGCAGGGGATAACAAATTAAATTTCTTGTTTAAGACTGTTCTGATGTAGTTGCAGTGAGACAAAAACCTCTGCCAAATCAATTTACAGCAGCATAACAGCACTCACAGGTAAAGCACCAGCATGGCCATTATCACCATGACAAACCGGCTGAAGGAGGAGTAGAAGTAGACTATACTAAGCAAGATCGCGGCACGTGAAAATGTGTACACCCAGTCCAGCCAATCCCGGTTCAGCTCTTCCTCGTTCAGGATCTCCCCTCCCTGGGCGTTCATCTGGACTTCCGGGTTGCCGTGGCGATCTGCCTGAGGCCTCTGGCTCAGCGGGTCAGCCTGGTTAGAGTGAGTTGAGGGTTGGTCTGGCCTGAGGTGTTGAGAGGAGGCAGCCAGTAACTGACTGGAAAGGCACAGAGAGGAGAAGAGAATAGTACTCTTTTAATTTGCCAGGATTGAGGCTCAGTAAACTTTCTGAAACAGGATGGGACTTACTAATGCATGTAATACTGCTGGGCGTACAACTGCTGCCACCACATTAGTGTCATGGGGTTGTAATAAGTGGGCATGGTTGTGGGAGGAGTTGACTGTGGGGAGTAATGATTCCAGCTGGAAATAGAAACACTGCATTAGAAAAACAGTGACATTTAACCTGCCCACACATGCACACACACACATACATAGTAACTCCATACTTTTCCATACCCTAATTTCCAGACTTCTCTGCGTTTTTTTTTTTTTTCCCCAGAGAATATGCGACATCTGAGTAAATATATCAGTGTATCATATTTCACATCATATTTAATTATTCTTAATAGGCGATTGTAGCCAAGTACCATAATGGCATGCAAATAAAAACTCTAAGTTCAGTGTCTGGGCTGAGGCAAAAAGGTTGGGACTCTGGGTGCAAGCGATGCAGTAACGAGGCGTCAGTGATTTTTCCTTTCATGTGGCTCAGAATCACCTTCTCCCCCATGTTGGCGATGTTAAACGATTTCACACAAAACTTGCATCTAGCTCTGTGTGTGAATTGGGAATCCTTGGCCAACCAGTATTTATATACGGCATTGTCAAGCCATCCATCCAAAAACTTTCATCTACCCATTGTGAACCACGTGAAACTCGTCTTCTTGTCGAAGGTGCAGTGTTGGAGTGAAACTTGATACCTGGGGGGCTGGAGGAGGGTCATGGAGCAACAGACTGGATATACCACTTGTCAATCAGGTAAAAGGGGCGGTATGTTTTCTGAGACATTTGCTCTCACACAAACTGTGCTTGGCCCGGCATAAAACACGATCCGGATTGATTAAATTATTTTTGGAAATACCTAATTTTCTATTTTAGAAAACAGTATTTTAGAACAGTGGTAAGTCGGAAACATAAATATTTTTCCATACTTTATTTTTCATTTTCCATACTTTTTAATACCTGGAAATTGATCAAATTTATTTCCATACTTTTCCATACTTTACATACTTGCGTAGGAACCCTGTGTACTGTCAAATAAACTAAACTAATTATATCAACCAAATAGCAACTCTGTATTACTAAAGCCATTTTCAGACATGTAATAATAACAAAAGGGGACCTGTTATACTTTTCAGTATTTGTGTCCTATAAGTTATAGTTATAAGCTTCAAATACTGACATAAATGTATGTAGAAGTCACCCATGTGAGCAAAAAGGTTTCCTAATGTTTTGGACGTTCTGTTTCCAACAGTTTTTTTGTACTACAATATGACATCATGGTGTGTTGGATTTCTTTATATGGTCATCTGCTCCAGGGAGGCTACTGCAAGTGTTTACCATATGTAGCATTCACTGCTACATTAAGCTACACGCTAACTAAAGGGAAACATGTAAACTTGGTTGGCGATGTTGTTAATTCCTCCCTGATTTCAGATCACAATCCTGCTGGAACATGTCTAGTTGAGTGTAGAAACTTTTATTTATGATTTTTCACAGTTAAAAGTGCTACTTTTCTCTGTAACAATCATTCTCCTGGCTGCAATGACACTCAGTACGTTTACATGCAGCTTGAGAAAATCGAATTATTGGCTTAGTCCGACTGAAACAGGACTTTGACACGCATGTAAACAGCTTAGTATCTGAAATTGGACTATCTGTAGCTCGACTAACACACCTGGATAATTCAATTGAAAATCAAACTATTGCTGCATGTATAGTCGGACTCAGCTTTCTGCGCATGTACCGCTTTTTCTTTCACAGGCTTTCACCCCTAAAAAGAAAGAGATAACGTAGCAGCACTTCAGTAACTACCGGAAAAACAAACAAGCAAACACCATGGCGACTGAGAAGCCCAAGACACACTTCTGGACGGACGTGGAAACTACAATCATGCTCCGACAGCTAGCATCATTAGATTCCTATTCGGGTCAACCGGAACTAGTTCAATACGCACTATATTAAAAAGGACACAGCACCACCTATCGAGGAGGAGTCAGATGTACTTGGTCAGAAATTCAATTTTCTCTTCTGCATGTATTCTCAGATAAGATGAGAAGTCCAAGCTTAGCTCAACTACTGCGTGCATGTAAATGTACTAACTATAGAGATGCAGAGAGAACCAGAAACACTGACCAATCAGAGCAGGCTTTTTTCAGGAGGAGGGCTGAAAGTGAACACTAAAACAGAGCATCTTAGACAGAGTGTGAGTACAGGTGTTTCAGCACAGACCGTATGAGGAAAATACTGTAAGTGCGTTTTGACCATTAAAGCATGTAAACATGTTCTTGTAGAAACCTTAAATACAAGTACGGACCTGAAAATAGGTTATATTTAATACAAAACAGCTCACTTCATCTCTGTGTTTACGTTTTTTGGCTTCTTATTCACATATAGGTGTCTTTTACGTTAATGTTCCTTGTGGCTTAATTCAGTCATTACAGGACTTTTCTTGGAGAGAGCAGCAATGCTCATGTGATATTTGGCACCTAAATTATCCATAGGTGTGGCTTTATCCACAAAAATCTTTAGCTGCTGTGGTGAATCACCTTCCTTAATACCCTTTAAGTCTACACTACAGCAGATAACAAACTTTCACTGGCTCAAAAGCTTACCTGTGCATAAATTGCGGATACATCTGGTGGTAAGGCAAAGGTCCAGTTCGCTGTCCTAGTCCATCACTGCTCTCTCCTGTGGATGACTGACTGTGTTGACCAGTGGATGGAGCAGCAGAGTTCTGAAGGGGCTGTAACCAGAATAAAAAAAGGTTCCAGGCTTATGATGTCTTTAACAACTGGCAAACAGACTACCGATGAAAATTAGCCTCTCGGCTATTTCGGGTGCATTCACATTTTTGTTAAAATGTTGATTAATGTACGTTGTACCTTTTCAAATAAACAAATAAACTAAACTAAACTAAACTATGATTCATCTTGAAAGAAAGGCAAGTGGCCTTTTTTAAATCCTCAGAGAGGTGAAGATTACAGCACTGAGCTGGATGATGAAAGGAAATGTACTGCTGATGAAATGAATGGAAAGGTGTGACGAGTGCATGGCTGACCCACCGTGGGACCGGCTGAATTCTCCTGAGGCTTGTTACTGCGGCTGCGGGGGGGCTTCGGGGAGCTGGGAGGGGTTCGTGAGGCGCACACCAGATGGAGCATATGGTATTCATCCTGCTGTAGAAGCAAATACAGCTCATTAAACAGTCCAAGTACTGCATGTACAAAGAAAATAAAGATAAACTTCTGAACTTCATGGTTGTACAGTTCATCATTTAAGAAATTTAAAACACTTGAAAAAAATTCTAAATCTACTTTTTGGACATTTGCTTTAACAACTGAAGTTAAAAGAAAGAGTTATATTTATGATATATTCATATCTGTATAATACTGGTAAGTGATATACAGATGAGTCTAACAACATTGACTTTCTCTGGACTATCACACTTGATAGTAGTGACTTTAGCAGATAGCATTTTTGCATCAGTCAATCTAACTGTTGATTACAAAGCTATAGATCCCTAATATGCATCTGAACTAAACTATAGCTAAAACCATAGCTCCTGCATGCTGCTGTACCAGCCTCCATTCTTTCGTGACAGCTTTCCACCAGGTTTTGGAAACTGGCTGCAGGAGTTTGCTCCCATTCAGCCACAAGAGCATTAGTGAGGTCAGCCAGCAGTGATGTTGGGCGATAAGGCCTGGTTCACAGTCCGTGTTGCAATTTCAGAGGTGTTTGAGGGGTGTGAGGTCAGAGCTCTGTGTGGTACAGTCAAGCTAGTCCTGACCAAACTGGGAAAACTATTTTCCAATCTCCATAGACCTCACTTTGTGCATAGGGGCACTGAGTTTTACCTCAGTTGGTGTGTTCTCCCGTGGTCTAGATCGTTTAGTGTAAGGTAGCCATAAAACTCAGTCCAAGTCAGTCTTTTTCTCGTCTTGACATTCCGACAAAATCAAACATGTTTAATACGATCATAAGTTTTAGTCTTGGCTCATGCAAATACTGAAGTTCAAAGCTATTGACAACAACTAATAGCTGCGCTCCCTCTAGCACCAAACAAAAAGCAGCAGACTGGGTAGACGGTAAACATGGAGGGGACAGCAGGGAAGCGCAAGAATGTAAACAAGTCTCAGTTCTCTTGTACTGTGGAAAATGAGGAGAAATTGGCAGAGTTGTGGTGTTAACAAAAGTCTGTATTTAATTCTGTGTGTATCTGATCCACCAACCAGCACATATTTCAGTGGGAAACAGTTTGCCTCTCATCCCTACGGTCTCCTACCACTAAAACAGCGCAGCTAACAAACGGAGGCTGGTAGTGAGTTGAGGCGACATAATCCAAAATGTACAGTTTGCACACAGATACAGTTTATGTCTCTAGATTATACTGATGCAATGACAAAAATACTGTGGACACACGACGCCTTTTATCTTGCGTTTCTAGAGTTATGTGTTTTTGCGGACAAGTAAGGAATTGTTAATACATCATATTTTATAAAGGGAGTTTGGCAAAACATTGCGACTTAGCTCAAACCATAAGAGAGTTTGACAGAGGTGTCCACATACCTACATAATGCATGCAATTGGTTTAAACAGAGAATTAGGCAGCCTGTGTGCTTCTTAATATTGGCTTTAGAATGATTAAACTAGAGAAATTACCTTTCTGAGCACATCTTTTAAGGTAAAGTGATCCAAAAGCAGCTTCCCAGAATACACCAGCCTCTGGTCTTTGGAGCTCTAAAAAAACAAAATTAAAAGGATAATTGGGTTACAGGAGAATGCATTGTAGCAAACAAGTGCAGAATACAGTTCTTTGCCCCTCTCAAACATTTCTTATTAATACTGACAACAAATGTCAACTACAACAATAAGCAGGAAAACAGGTCCATATCACCACATCAAAAGGCTGAGCATTTGTGTGAGGTAGTAATGAGGATGAGATTATAGTAACCTCAATAGGAATAAGTGGGCTTTATGGGTGGATTAACCCAGCAGTGCAACAAGGTCAGAGTGTGTCCTCTTAAAGCCTACATTCACTGTACGACCATTCAAGAATTTTAATTGCCTTTTTTTAAATCCTGGCCAAGTTGGAATGGAGAACCTTTTATTTTTGGTTCTAGATGCCTGATTCTTAAACATGCCACTGTTATTGTCTCCTAAACTACACTAACAAGAGTGCAGCCCTTACAGAGATTACCTCAGAGAGCAGTCTGACCTTTTGTGTTTACAAAGATTGCATCATGAAATGGAGCAAAGTCAGATTAGCAGCAGCACAATAAAGCAGGAATCTTAACACCTTCCTTTTATTGTGACGTCAAATCTACAGACTCGAAGGCTCTTTCAGCTAATATGACTCTGAAAACCTGACTTCTTTTACTTCAGAGGATAGATTAATGGTCTGTGTCACTTTTATTATAATCAAAAAGTATCACAAAGGAAGTGTAGAAGAATTCAAACAGCAAGAAGAGTTCAATCAGAAAATGTTGGCTACAATACCAGCCAAGTCCCTTTCCTCTACACTCGCTCTGAATGGCGCTGTAAGTCTTGACATTGAACAAGAGGCAACAATGTTAGACCTTATCTTACACAGCTCACTTCTTGGGTTTAAATTCTACAAAAATCATACATACCATCCCGCAGAGGGCTGACGATGCATACCAAGTAACTTAGTCAACAGTTTGTGTCAGGCTGGGAACATTTCTTACACGTTAATGTCACCAGTTTCTCACTCAAAATGCTTCTTGCCACAGTATGCTGTTAAACTACCCACTACAGGCCAAAAAAAACACAACACATACCAGATGTAACTTCTTCTTGTGATTCTACAAAGGTGATCAGCTGACTTAAGTGACAGAGGAAAGTAGGATGGAGCATAGAGGCACAGAAATAGGCCCTGGCATTAATTCATGTTCTCATCTCAGCAGCTTTAGATAGACTGGGGCACAAATACTCACTGGTTTGCTTGGGTATACATCTGACAGGTGTGCTTTGAGTTTCTCTACAGTCCAGTTCTGGCAACAGTTGATGGTCTGGTCATTGTACTTCTGGTTGGGTGCCCTGATGACAAGGGTGACAGGACTGTCCACAACACCTTGATCCATAACTTGAAACCATTTGTCTCCAGTGGATAACAGAGGGTGAAGACTACAGTTCCTCTAGTTTTCTAATGTGTTTCTGACGCTATTGGAGCGAAGCTTTAATGTTATTGTAAAGTCTGGTGTTTATCTACAGCTGCAAGGTGTTTACTTTAGATGGTTTACAGCTGGTGCCTAAATAGAGAAAGAAAACAGGAGGTTAGCGTGATCCCAATATCATTAGTTAGATATATTCCGTTACATATGAATAATCTGTGCCACTGCCAGACAAACAAATTAAGCATTGCATCGTTACTGTAATATTTGACAAAGAATTATCCATTGGTGGTGTGAATGCGGTGTGTCCTCTTAGATATGTCTAACCAGACAAACGTCTAACGTTAATTACAACTACACTCTTATAACAAGCTCGTACCGACAGATATACACCTTGCTGCATCTATGACATAAAATAAAATTTTCCATCAGCACCGGTTAGGAGTATTTAACAACCGGCTAAGCTAACGTTAGCCTCAGTAGGTTTCTGCTACTAATGTCAGTCATTTGGAGCTGAAAAAGTTGTTAGCTAGCATACTCAGCTCGACAGATTAAATCGCTCTGGTTTTATAAAGGTGTTCGTCTCAAACAGAGATGTTACATATCTTGTTTGCCTACCTTGTTTACCTCCGGTGACCGAAAGACACAGCCTACTTTAACTCCAAGCCCCTGAGTGAACCTGGGTGTTGGTCTTCTTCGTTGGATTTCAGAATATAGTCGACACTCACTGTTTATGGCGCATTACCGCCACCCACTGGTAGAAGTGTGCGTTACAGCAGGGACATGATGACAAAAGCAAGTGTTTGGGTAAAGACCATAAAGATATTTTTTTATGCAGACTATGGCCAGGATTAAATATAATAAATAATATAATAAATTACATGAATGAATTGGAATATCCTAATATTTATATTTTTGACTGACTAATTAGTATAAAATGTTTTTCAGTAGAATGCTTCAACAGAACCACAACGTACATCCTACAAATTAGCAATGAAAAAAGAATTAACACCTCTCTAAAACAAAAACATTATTGCCTTCATGAATGCAAGATTTATTGGATGGCTGTTGTGTTAGACTATATTCCTATTAGCTTCTGTTTTTGTACCTAATAAATTGGAAGCAGAGTGTATTTTTACAGGCAGTTTTTCTGAATCTACTCATACAATTATGGCCTTAAATGGAGAAGAAGATTGGAAACAATAAAACACAAACATATGAATTAAGAACATAAAGACTGAATCACTGACTACCTGGCTGAGTGATTGATTAGGGCTGGGATGTGTCATGATGGACCACGGTTTATTGCAGTTGAAGTGATTCAATTTGACTGCCATTTGGTATTGGCACAGAATATTACACCTACCATACTCCAGCTCCCTGTTTGAGTTTAGAAAACACAAAACTTTTGGTGTCCTTAGAAAGGTTTCTCTGTATTTACCAGCTGCGAAAATCTTGAAGCGGCTGGTATAGTTTTCACTGTGTGAGTCTGTTTGTGTGTGTCATCATGGTTGTGAAAGTGAAACTGCCACAGAAGAGGTTTTGAGTACTTTGGCTTGTGTTTGTCTGTCTGTCTGCGGACAACAACAGGATAGCATGACAACCTTGCAGGATGCAGTCACAAAACTTTACAAATGTATAGTTAAGATCAAAATGAAGGTCGAGTTCAAAGATGGCCATGGTCAGAGCAAGGGGGCCAGAAGTAGGGGGCAGGAAGTACGGAAAAGGCCATTGCCCCTGGTGCACATTTATGTGATCCTGTCTCAGGATTGTCTCTAGTTTTGTTTTTGTTTTGTTTTTGTTTGTTTTTTTGCAGATTTCCAAATGATTACAAGTACTCATCACTGTAAGGATCTAGGCCAGCACTGCAGCAGTGAAACAAACTCTTTGTTCATTCAGTACAATAAATCAAATACGAGTCCCACAGTTGGAAAGCGGTGTGCATAATATTTTGGTATATCAACAGGCAAGCGACGTGAATTACAGCAAGAGAAATCCACATTAAAAACAAAGATGATTCAGGTCATTGGTGGTATGTAGTAAACACAGGTGTGACCTATCAGATCCATTGTTATTTCTTATTAGCCATAGCATTAGCATAGAGTGTGTACAACTGAACTAAATGTATAATTGTACATGTTTCATCACAGTTAATTGTACAGATGTGTTTTATAAATATATGTACAAAAATATTGTGGATTAATTTAATGCATTGCATTAGTCTTACACAAATAAAGCTAGAAAGGGCTAATTAAAGGGATAATAAGTTTTTTTAAGAGGGGCTTTATGAGGTACTTATCCATAGTTTATTACACATAGTAGGTGGCAGTAGGAACACTCCCAGTTTGGAGAGGCAGACAGGAGTACCATCACATCAGCTCAGAAATGCACTGTTTTGGATGGAGGGTGGCAGCTTATTTTAGCCTCTTGAAAAATGAAAAAAGGTCTACCCCAACAAAATCCAAATCACTCTAAGTGGGTGCTGTAATAAGAATATTTTCACTGCTTAACTTTGCTGTGAGACAGCCCTTTCCTTTGGCATTACATCTTTTCAACCCTACAACTTCCATTTTCCTATGTATGTCACACACTGTATTATACTGTAGGTCAGCTGTCTGAGTCAGACTCTCAGCGGTTTATGGAAGAGACAACAAACACAATAAAATAACACATTTCTGAAAAGGTGGCCTGTGCTTCATACTCTGCTGTGTCTTAGTAAGTCATTCATTTTAGGTATTTAGTGTTACTTTACATGATCTTTGGGTACAGCAGCACTCTTCAGCAAGCGTCCCTCTCGCTTGTTTGGTGGTGGTTTTACACAGTCTTCTCGAGAGAAATGTTCACTGCAAACACTGAGCTGTCTCAGTCTTGCAGGTGGAGTGCAAAATATAAGTGCAACTAACGTTAGCCAAAGCTGTTTTCTTTTCTTTGTTTAAGCAGCGCGGAAGTCTTTAGAAAAGTGAAGTTTACTTTCAGTGTGTTTGTGCAACAGCACTTTCTGACCCAAACAGCTGATCTGCGGCGTAATACAGTTGTGCTTATGTGTAGGAATACCAAAGTTATAAGTTATACAGTTGAGAAAATATAGTGCAGAGGGAAAGAGCTGTCTGACTGCAAGGTAAAGCAGTGAAAATATTATCAATAGATGGATGGTGATTTTTTTAAGGTAGGCCTTTTTCTAAGTGGATAAAATATGTTTTGCTGCTAACCCCTAATGCATTGCTAAGCTGCTGTGATGCTACTCCTAGGAGTGTGCCCACTGACATCTACTGTATGTAAGGCACTGACTATGGATAAGTACCTTATACAGACCTACTTAAAAAAAATAAGTGTAGCAATCTCTTTAAAGCAAGTGAATTAAAATGATCAAGGAGAACAGGAAGTTCTGCATATAATAAAGACATAATTTAGGTTGGCCTAGTAAGACCTTCAGTGAATAACTGAGAATAAATGTGTTCAATGTGCTCTGAGAGTGGGTTAACCTACTTTCATTTGATACATAAAAACTCAGAGACCTTGCAGGCCCTCGTACAAACAAAACTTCCAGGCTACTATTTCCTGAGTAGACAAGAGCATGGCATTATTCATCCATCATGTTTTAGTGTGTGTGTGTGTGTGTGTGTGTGTGTGTGTGTGTGTGTGTGTGTGTGTGTGTGTGTCTGTTACATAACAGCCTATTTGTATGTGACAAGAGATCATAATTACCTCTGCCAAGGAGGTTATGTTTTCGCCAGCGTTAGTCTGTTTGTCTGTTTGTTTGTCTGCAAAATAACTCAAAAAGTTCTGAACAGATTTTGATGAAATTTTTAGGAAAGGCGATCGGTTTAAGCAAAGTGGATAAAATAACAAAATGGCGGGAAATCCGAGCTGCTTGGCGGAGGTCTGCGCTCTCCGAGTACTTTTCTAGTTATGTCTAAAACAATCACAACTTATACCAAACAGTAGTAAACCCACAATATTAATTTTCCTGGATGGATTGAGGCACCATGTCATGTAATTTAACCTCTTTGATCAATCGACCACCTCATGACCCAGTGTCCTCACACAGTCCAAACACATACAGATGAGGTGAATTGGAAAATTCATGGCCACCCTTCCTTCTGTGTCTGGCCCAGTGTGCGCTGTGATTGGTTCCACCTTCACACATCCTTGTGATGAAATACAGTTACACAAATGTCTTTCAGCATTCCTGAAAGAGCCGGCTATTTAAAATCTGTCTTGCAATCAAACACAATGAATCATATCCTATGGATGGTTGCTTTCTCATTCTTCATGAGTTATACAACCATATAAGGACTTCCTGCAATAGAAACATCTCTCATCGGAGGGTGAAGCACTTTCCTTGTGACGTCCGTCATGTTGGTCACTATGTGAACACCTCAAACAGCTCACTCTTTCTCAGAAAACACAACATGTTGACAAAGTGATGTACAGTATAGCAGAGGTACACATGCATCAGAGATTACCTTGCTTCACAAAGACCTGTTTTTCAAACCCTGCCTCAATTTAGCGGCTGGTGATATTGTAATATGGGACACAACCTGCTGCCACTTCAAATTAGGTCAGCAGTAACCCAAATTGTGATGTAATTTTCCATTGACATAGAAAATGATGTTTGGTGTTTTCTATTCAGTTAACATGCATCATCTGATACGCTGGTGTAATGGAGATGTTATTTTTTACCTCACTGGTTGTGTCTCTGTTGCTGCTGTTGGTGTGTTTATTTTCAGTCTGTTCAATGGGCTCCTGCTGCAGCCACACCGCCCTTATTGGTTTTTAATAAAACATGAATTGAGCTCAGTTCGGTTTCATGCTAGGTACATGTGTAAAGACGTGTTTGTTTGCGTTAGGAGGGGATGTGAAAGAACATTGCAGATCAATGATTCTCAGTGATTGTTCCTGATTTTATTTAATTCACTTTCAGATAGTGACCCCCTGGTCATGGTTGTACCTTATATAAATTGACCTTTTGTATTTATTTACTCTGAACAAAGTAATAATTTATAACTGGTGTCAAAGGATGATTGACAATACAATAAAACACAGTTTAGTCAGGAACGCTTTTGTCAAAGAAGTCTATTTCCATTTGCAGTATTATATTTGGCCGTATGGCTCTGCTCTGGAACCTCTCTGCCCTTCCTTGGGCCTACATTGAAAGCCTTAAGGCAGAGAGAGCACACCTCTCTGCCCCTCCATGCGCATACAAGGAAAGCCTGAGGCAGAGAGAGCAAACCTCCCTGCCCTTTCATGCACCTACGTGAAAAATCTAAGGCAGGGAGAGCAGCATCAAAGACCCCCTGGTACAGAATAGAGCCAGCATCATTGACAAACAGAAATGACATTGATAAGTCAGACACAGCATGAAAAGGAGGAGCTGCAGTAGAGGTGGGTTTGCGAAGCGGCTTGCAGAGGAAGCAGCAACAGTGGGCGGGCCAGAGCAGTTTAAATAGGGCACCCTGAAAGCACAGCAGAAAGGTCAGATCGGTCCAACCACTGTGTTTAATTATATATCTTTAAACACTGCAGTTACAGCTGAAAATGCGTAATTGCGTAAGCTTTCATATATCTACGCAATCCAGATGTTTATCCAGCAGTGATGGAGTTGTTAGTGCAATGTCACTGTGATTTGGTCCAAACACCAAATGGAGGCCATGAGATGCAATTAAAAGCTGCAAAAGAAATCTATTTACCTTGAAG